GGAAAGAGAGAGGGGAGAGAGAGAGACAAGAGAGCATCCTAAGGAAAAGGGGAAAGTTAGGGAAAGATACAAAAAGTTGAGTTCATTGAGTAGTCCCAGCACTCAGGAGACAGAAGTAGGCAGCTCCCTGAGGCCAGCCAAGGGCTACACAGAGAAATCCTGTCTGGGGAAAAGAGAAGAAAAAGAAAAGAAATATTGAAACATGAGAGAGTAAATAGTATATTCAGTATATGCAGTAGTGGACACCTGGTAATCCTAGCACTCAGACTGGGCCATGGTGGCGCACACCTTTAATCCCAGCACTTGGGAGGCAGAGGCAGGCGGATCTCTGTGAGTTCGAGGCCAGCCTGGTCTACAGAACGAGTTCCAGGACAGCCAGAGCTACACAGAGAAACCCTGTCTCAATAAATGAATGAATGAATGAATGAATGAGTAAGTAAATAAATCATCCTAGCACTCAGAAAGGTGAGGCAGAAGAACTGAGTTGGAGACTAGCCTGAGCCACGCAGTGGGACCTTCTCTCAGAAACTCAAACAACAAAAATTTGAGGAGAAACTCCAACAAACCAGCAAATTACAAGAAATCTGCCTTGTGCATCTCCCCCCACCCAAAACTGTGTTTTAGATGATTTGCCTCGGGCAGAAGGCCTGGGGGCCAGCGAGGCAGCTGAGAGGCTGGGCCGGGGTTGTGTGTGGGACATGGCTGGAGAAGATGGCCACCGCTGGAGAGTGTTCCGGACAGGACAGCGAGAGCAGCGAGTGGACATGACCATCATTGAGCCCTATAGGAAAGTGCTCTCTCATGGAGGTAATGACAGGCAGACTGGGCATGAAAACTATGGCATTGCGGGCCAGTGAGTCAAGGTGCTTGCCATGCGTGCCTGGCAACCTGGGTCTGATCCCCAGAACCCAGGGAGGGGTGCAAGGAGAACTAACCCCGCTAGCTGAAGTTGTCCTCTGACCCCCACATGGACCCATTCGTGCATGTACACAATAATAATAAATGGAAACATGAGCTGTGGCAACAGCAGCACTGAGAGGGCCCAGCAGACAAGAGGTCCTGTTGCTCCCGCAAAGCAGCTGGACTTCCCAGCAATCACATGACAGCTCACAACTGCCAGTAACTCCAGCTCCAGGTGCTCTCACAAGCTCTTCCCTTCCCCATGGTGCACATGCATACATGCAGGCAACACACTCATACACCACATAAAAAACACACACACAAAGAAACCTCTGGCAGCTTGACTACTGTTCCGTAGCTGGAGACTCAGTTGTTAGGTTTAGCATCCTTCCTGACTTCCCAAGACTCAGTATCCCTTATCCTAAGTAGAAGTACTATTTCTTTACAGATTTGTAACTGAGTAAGTTTTTCTCATATTGGTCCCCAGGTTACCATGGTGATGGCCTCAATGCTGTCATCCTCTTTGCTTCCTGCTATCTACCCCCAAGCAGCGTTCCCAACTACACCTATGTCATGGAACACTTGTTCAGGTGAGGTGGAAACCCAAAAAGGCTTGTAAAGGGGACTAAGGGAGGAGAGTGGCAAAGACCCCTGGTCGAGAATCTCTGCATTCATGCGTCTGAGCCCCTGAACACACAGCATACACCTCCGCTGCAACGTTGTCCCCAGGTATATGGTGGGAACTCTGGAACTGCTGGTAGCTGAAAATTATCTGCTCGTTCACTTGAGTGGAGGCACACGCAGGGCCCAGGTACCGCCTCTGGGCTGGATACGCCAGTGTTACCGCACCTTGGATAGGAGGTGAGACCCCAGGGCAAGAGGGACACAGCTCTCTGCTATGGTGTCCTCATTTTTTCTATTGTTTTCTTCTTCCATTTGATCCCATTGTTGTTTTCCCTCTTTCTTTCCTGAGAATGACTTGCAACACACCCCATGTTGTCCTCAAGGTCAAGGTTGCCCAGCCCAGCCTTTTGAGTACTGGGATCGTGGGATCACTGGCCTGGGTCACCATCCCTACTCCCTCCTTTCTTTGTCCTACATCTCTTCAGAAGTGTCTCCTGTTAGCGCACTCCCAGCACTTGGGAGGCAGAGGCAGGCGGATCTCTGTGAGTTCGAGACCAGCCTGGTCTACAGAGCTAGTTCCAGGACAGGCTCCAAAGCCACAGAGAAACCCTGTCTCGAAAATCCAAAAAAAAAAAAAAAAAAAAAGAAGTGTCTCCTGTTGTAGCCCGTCGAGTCAGGGCCGTCTAGCCCTTAGGACTAAGTGCACTGTGGACAGGTCACTTAGCTTTTCTGTTCAGTTCCTTGTGACTCCCAAGGCACGCTGCCCGCACCCGCAGTCTCTCCCCCTTTCCCCAGTCTTGCCACTTCCCTTCCACATCTCCACTGCTTTCTCTTCATCTTCCTTCATCCCCGATGTTTAAATCATTCCCCTCATTGTGTTTGGTTTTTGTTTGTGTGTTTTTTGTCTTTCAAGACAGGGTTTCTCTGTATAACAGTCCTGGGTGTGCTGGAATTCTCTCTGTAGACCAGGCTGGCTTCAAACTCACAGAGATCTTGAAGGCGTGCGCCACCACCGCCACTACCCAGCCATTTATTTATTTTTATTGGAAATAGGGTTTCATATAATTGAGGCTCACCTTGAACTATCTATGTAGCCAAAGGTGACCCTGAACTCCTGGTCTTCCTGCCTCTCTGCCTCCCCCCAGTGCTTGGATAACAAACAGGTGTTATCACCACGTCTGTCGTGGCCATCTCGCCCTTGTTTAATTTTCTTCTTGAATCGTTTTCATTTTTCCTCCTTGCTGGTCTTTTTCCTACTTAAGAGCTTTGCTGTTTCCTGTTTGGAGGAGGAGTTCATTTTATATAGGGGCTCATGTAGCCTAGGTTGGCTTGGAATTCTCAGTGTAGCCCCAGTTGTCCTTGAATTCCTGACCTCTTTGCTTCTGCCGGGGTCACAGCAGAGTGCTCAGATCACAGGCACCACAGGTACACCCAACTTCCTCTCTGACTTTTATGTCGCTTGGGCTGCTTGGTGGAAACGGAGAAAGGAATCTGTGTGGGCTGGAGGGAACTGAGTTGCAGAGACAGAGGAGCTAGGAAAGGAACATCCCCTAAGTTTAGAGTAGAGAGGGCTGAGTAAATTGGGACAAGCTCAAGGCATGGGGATTAGGCACAGCTGCCAGAGAAATTTGGAAGAGAGACACCGAGGAGCCTGCAGCGTTGAAGATAGCCCACCTGTTCCATGGACTAAGGCGGAACAGGGAACATAAAGGTCATATTGGATTCTTCCTCAGGCTTCGGAAAAACCTTAGAGCCCTGGTGGTTGTCCACGCTACGTGGTATGTGAAGGCATTCCTGGCACTGGTTCGGCCCTTTATCAGGTACTAGTTCAAGACACAACTGTAGACATCCCTTTCTCTATTGTCACTACTGCCGGTAAGGAGGTGGTCCCCTACTCCTTTTCAGCCCTGCCATCCTGCTTGCCCCACTTCTCTGAGATCCTCCAGTGCAGTCTCCCGATACAGAACATAATTGATGTATTCTCTCTTCAGTTCCAAGTTCACACGAAAGATCCGATTTCTGGACAGCCTTGGGGAGCTGGCTCAACTCATCTCCCTAGATCAAGTCCACATCCCTGAAGTTGTCAGACAGTGAGTCCTGCACTTAAGGGTGCTGGTTGTCCTGTTTCTTAGTGTCTCTGGGGAGATAGAAAGAACTAAGACACGTAGGGGGAAACTGCATACACCTAGAGAAGAAGTTAAGGACACTATTATATTTGTCAAGAACAGTGAAGGGGGCCAAGGAGATGACTTAGTGGGCAAAGGTACTCGCTGACAAGCTTGACAACTTGAGTTTGACTTCCAGACCCTAGTGGTGGGATAAATCCACGGCATGCATGTGTGCACATTCATAAATAAATTAAACCCGGTTTTGGTATGTAAACAAAACTTAAAGAACAAATAAAAAATTATTCAAGGGACACTGAGGAGGCATCAAACAAACAAACATTAAAACAAATTATGAATAGGTAACCCAGCAGCAAAGAGACAGTAGCCAGTGGGGAGTATGTCAGTGAGCGGAAAAGGAAAGCGACTCAAGCGCCACATTTCTAGCTCCTAATTCCCTTGGCTTCTGTCCCCCAACCCTCTGTAGGCTGGACCAGGATCTCCATGGCTCAAAGGCACCTAACACAAAACTGGACAAGGGGCCGTAGACTCAGGCCAAGATGGTGAATGCTCTGCACACTGGAGCTGTTCTGTAAATCATCTCATCCTGACCCCCTGCCCCAAGTTCCACTGGATCCCCGCTTCTGGACACTGCCTTCAAGCTGGGATTTGAGGGTGGGAACCCTATATGTGGGGTGACTTGCACTTCGGCTTCCAAAAGGAAGACCAAGTGTGGTACTGGAAGAGCAGGGCTCTGGGTTTTAATTCTGCTTTAGCTATAAAACATGTGGGTCTCATATTCCTTCTCTGTAATCAAAACCTCTGGGATCCTTCCCAGATGGTTGTAAGATGGCAGCCGTTTGAGGGGAGGTGGAGGGAAGGTGAGGGTTTAACCAACAACCACAGCCAGCCTGTCTGCTGGGATCCCAGGAGCCAGCTTGCAGACTCTTGAAGAGCCAATCCCTTAGTCTGCTCCTGTGATCCTGGGAAGAATTGCTACCAAAGCTGGCGTTTTCACCCTTGTTAGTAAATTCAGACCTGTAGCCTTTAATAAACTGTGATGGGAGATTTAAGTCGAACAAGTTTCCTCCAAGTTCTTACATCATAATCCACCTTTCGGTTCTGGCACAGAATTCTTGCTCACCAGAGTTCCTGGTGATTTTTTAGCTCAGCCCCTGGGGCTGCTGGCCCTGTGCGGGAAGAGCACTTAGGGGAGGGGCGTGGCACGCGCCTTGGGGAGGGGCGTGGCCCGCGCCTTGGAGCACCCTTTTGGTCGGTTCACAGGACCTCGAGACCTGGAGGGTTGGTGGAGAGTGGAAGGGAGGGAGAGAAGGTAGACGCCTGGGCCTACCTCTCGACCTTCCCAGCCCCATGGTCCCCGCCGCCTGCATGCTGCTCTGGGCCCTGCTACTTAGTTTGGGGCTCCGGGCGGCGGGGGCCCAAGACCAGACGTCAAACCCAACGTCAAACCCAACGTCAAACCTGACCTCAAACCCAACCTCAAACCCGACCTCAAACCCAACCTCAAACCCGACCACGAACACAACTGGGATGCCGCGGATCAGCGTCCGCTTTGGCCCAGCCCGCAGCCGCCGGAGCACAAGCGTCACTATCCGGAACAGTGTACACCGAAAGGTGAAGGTAACTCTAGAGGATGATAATGATGCGCTAGCCACTGCTGACCGCCTGGCTGCCCCGGCAGCAGCTGAGCTCCTGTCCACTGTGTCAGGTATTAGCCGGTCATCAGCGTCCAACTTCAATGAGTATGATGGCTCCTTGGAAGAGGGAGCCGTGATTGATGCCAAAAAAACCACCTACCCTGCAACTCTCACTTCGACCTCCAGTACTATGAGTGTTAGCACAGCCCCCGGGAGGTTTGTAGCCAATAGCCAGGAGCGAGAGATTAGGATGACCACCACCGATCTGCCACCCCTCTCTTCAAAGCCTGTGGACCTGACTTCCGAGACTCTCGAGAGCACCCTGCACCAGTGGTCGACACCTGGGTCCACCCCGACCCCGTGGCGAAAAGCATCGCCCACAGCCATGCCATCTCCTGAGGATCTGCGAGTGATGCTGATGCCTTGGGGCCCATGGCACTGCCACTGTAAGTCGGGTACCATGAGCAGGAGCCGCGCCGGAAAGCTGCATGGTATTTCTGGGCGCCTTCGAATTGGGGCACTGAACGAACTCCGCACGGAGCACCGGCCTTGCACCTACCAGCAGTGCCCTTGCAACAAGCTCCTGGAGGAGTGCCCTCTGGACTCCAGTCTCTGTCCTGACAGTGGCTGCAGTTCACCCACCACCGGGATGAGCACCACCTCTCCTCAGGCCCCTGTACACCTGAGACGCAGACCCATCCTCCCACCCACTAGCCCGAGCCCTAGCCCAGCTCTTGCCTTTTGGAAACGTGTCAGGATCAACCTAGAGGACATCTGGAATAGCCTTTCTTCAGTGTTCACAGAGATGCAACCAGTAAGTTGTTTTGCTGAAGAGCAGGGCGTTCCTTGACGGATTTGAAAAGTCGTGGTGTCCCAAATCTTGTTGCTAACACAGGCAGTGTGCTCGTGGGAGCTGTTACTGACTTACCTGTGTAGTTACTGAGTTGTAACGTGCACTGGTTATCCTTGGCCCATTTGGTGTTTTTGGTTGTTTTGTGGTTTTTCTTTTTTTTGGGGGGGGGGGGTTCTGAGACAAGGTTTCTCCATGTAGCCCTGGCTGTCCTGGAACTTACTACATAGACCAGGCTGACCTTAAACTCAGACAGATCCTCCTGCCACTGCACCTGGAACTTTTTTTTTTTTTTAATATTTGTGTGCATGTCTGTTGTGTGTCACTAAGACCTTGTGGAGGTCAGGACAACTGGTAGGAGCTCGTTCTCTCATTCCACCATGTGATTTCCAGGGGTCAAACTCAGGTGGTCAGCACTAGAGTGATCTTGACAGCCCCACATGGTCTCTTATAAAAGCTCAGGATGGCCTCGAACTTTGCATAGCCAAGGGTGCAACCACTTCTGGTTGTATTCTGGTTGTAGAGTGCTGGGATAACAGACGTGTAACAACCATGTCTTATCACTTTTTGAATATTTACTGGTCATCAGATTCTTAATTTCTTTTTTTTAAAAAAGATTTATTTATTATGTATAGTGTTCTGCCTGCATATATGCCTGCATCCAGAAGAGGGCACCAGATCTCATTATGAATGGTCATCATGTGGTTGCTGGGAATTGAACTCAGGATCTTTGGAAGAGCAGACAGTGCTCTAACTGCTGAGCCATCATTCTAGCTCCTGGTTATCAGATTATTATTGACCAAATAAAGACTTCTTTACCTTTTTTCTTTTTGAGAATCTTAGAGTCTTGGCTAACCTGTACAACTTTCCTAACATGCTTGGCTATAAAGACTCAATTCATAGACAATGGACCTGGGGCATATTAACCGATTAATGATTAAGAGTTTAAAAAAATCATTGTGTAAATGTATTTTGCCTGTGTCTATGTCTGTGTAGCATACATTCCTGGTGCCCACGGAAACCAGAAAAGGGATGGTTCTCTGGAACCGTTGTTACAGAGGATTGTGAACAGCCATGTGGGTGCTCGAACTTGAACCCTTATTCTCTGGAAGGGCAGCCAATGCTGAGCCATCTTAACTGCTGAGCCATCTCTCCAACTCTGATCAACACAGTTTTTTTTTGGGTTTTTTTTGTTTTTTTTTTTTTTTTTGAGACAGGGTTTCTCTGTGGTTTTGGAGCCTGTCCTGGAACTAGCTCTTGTTGACCAGGCTGGTCTCGAACTCACAGAGATCTGCCTGCCTCTGCCTCCCGAGTGCTGGGATTAAAGGCCTGTGCCACCACTGCCCGGCTGATGAACACAGTTTGATTTAATGCATTATAACAGTAACAGCCAATAGCTGAGCTCTCACTCCAGATATGGCACTTGAATCTGCACTCAGCTTATAGAGCTGTATTTTGTTTACTGATGAAGAGACAGGTTTACAAGCCAGTAGGGCTGGGGTAGGTAATTCCGTGATCTTTCCTAGTCCATGCAAAGGTAATAGGTTCAGTTCTTTCACTGAAGAAAGAACATAGTGACAGCCACAAAACTGAAACCAGCTTTCCCACCAGGACCCAAAGGACTGTCCTTTTGGGACTCTCTCTACCCAGCAACTTAAAATTTCTCAAAGAAGCTGGGTGTGGTGGTGCCACCTTTAATCCCAGTGCTTGGGAAGCAGATCTCTTAGTTCAAGGCCAGTCTGGTCTAAGTAGTGAGTTCAGGACAGCCAGAGCTACACAGCGAGACCTTGTCTCAAAACAACAAAGTTCCTGACGGCTCAGACTGACTCTAGTCTCAGTCGCTAGGGGTGACTGGCAGGGAAAAGACTCAATAAACACAGAGCATATTTGGTGATTTAGCTGGTTCCTATTTTTGTTTTCCTCCTGGGGAGTCCAATTCCATTTTTAATATAAAAATAAAGCACTTGGGGCTGGAGATATATGGAGCTTGGTTAGTTGAGTCCTAGGCTGGATTCCCAGCAGCACAGACGGGGATGTTATAATCATGGGCTGGTAGGTGAGGGAACTGAAGCTCCTGGTCAGGGGACTGGACATGCGACTCAGCACGTAAGGGCATTTACTGCTCTTCCAAGGGACACCAGCTCCATTGCCAGCACACCCGTCAGGCATGCCAACCACCTGGACCCTGTGGGTACCTGCACTCAGACACACGGACACACACACAATCAATAAGTTCCAAAAAAACCTACCCAACCAACCAAACAAAAACATAAAAGACAGAACCTAAGTTCCAGGTCCAGTCAGGGAGATGACTTGGCAAATAAAAAAGTGCCACTGTATGGCCATGCCCCCATTCCCACAAAAAAAAAAAAAAAAATTTGAGGACAGGGTCTATATAGCCTTTTCCAGGCTGGAACTCACTGTATAGATCAGTCTGGCCTCAAGTCCCAAGTGCTAATATTAAAAGTGTGTGTAATACCTAACAAAATTAAAATAAAACATGAAAAAATTCAAGGCCACCCTGGACTACATAAGACCCTATTTTCTAAAAAAAGATAAACGGAATAAATGGAGAAAGCTAAGGAGAGAGCAGAGCTGGGGAGACGGCCAGGGGTGAAATGCCTGCTGGGCAACGGGAGGAAAGTCCAGAGCCCCAGGCGCCCCCGTTTATGGAGTCATGTGTGGGCTCCAGTTCAGTGAGACACCAGACATCTCACACACATACACACATGCACACACGCACACACAAACGGAGACATGGAGAGAGACACACACACACTTGAAGATATTAGACAACTACACGCATACACACACAAAGACAACAGACATCAACTATACACACGCACACACACGGAGACACCAGACATCAACTATACACACGCACACACACGGAGACACCAGACATCAACCACATACACACGCACACACACGGAGACACCAGACATCAACCACATACACACGCACACACACGGAGACACCAGACATCAACCACATACACACGCACACACACGGAGACACCAGACATCAACCACATACACACGCACACACACGGAGACACCAGACATCAACTATACACACGCACACACACGGAGACACCAGACATCAACCACATACACACGCACACACACGGAGACACCAGACATCAACCACATACACACGCACACACACGGAGACACCAGACATCAACCACATACACACGCACACACACGGAGACACCAGACATCAACCACATACACACGCACACACACGGAGACACCAGACATCAACCACATACACACGCACACACACGGAGACACCAGACATCAACCACATACACACGCACACACACGGAGACACCAGACATCAACCACATACACACGCACACACACGGAGACACCAGACATCAACCACATACACACGCACACACACGGAGACACCAGACATCAACCACATACACACGCACACACACGGAGACACCAGACATCAACTATACACACGCACACACACGGAGACACCAGACATCAACCACATACACACGCACACACACGGAGACACCAGACATCAACCACATACACACGCACACACACGGAGACACCAGACATCAACCACATACACACGCACACACACGGAGACACCAGACATCAACCACATACACACGCACACACACGGAGACACCAGACATCAACCACATACACACGCACACACACGGAGACACCAGACATCAACCACATACACACGCACACACACGGAGACACCAGACATCAACCACAAACACACGCACACACACGGAGACACCAGACATCAACTACACATACATGCACACACACCCCAAACCAGCAGGGTTGAGGAAATGGTTTGTAGAGGGTAAGTAAGGAAAATATCTATTGATTATAATCTCTCCTTTTCTGTTTTCTTGCCTTCCCCAGATAGAAAGAACCCAGCGGTGATGGCCACGTCAGCTTTGAGAGATGTCTGCATTGTAACCTCCCTTTTCAACCCCTGAACCCACTATATATTTTTAATACAGAAAAAACCAGAAAATACATATTTTGGTCCTATTTTTCTTTTTGGTGGTGACCGGGTCAAGCCCAGGGTTCTACACCTGCTTTCCACTGGTCCTTGTGTCTTTTTGGTTTATCAAGACAGGAGACAGGGTTTCACTATGTAGCCTGCACTGTCCTGGAACTTGCTCTGGCTTCTGGTCTTGTGTCCTCCCAGAAGCACTTATGCACGGAGGTTAGAGCCAGCAGCCTGTAGCTGGCTACTCTCTGTCTTCCGAGACAGAAGTGCTCACCATTCCCAGTGCTGTCTGAAACAAATGCATCAGTTCTTTGAGACAGGGTCTTATTTTGTAAGTTTGAGGCCTCAACTCAGAGATCTGACAGCCTTTTTTTTTTAATTAATTAATTAATTAATTAATACAGTATCCTGCCTGTAGGCCAGAAGAATGACCAGATCTCATTATAGGTGGTTGTGAGCCACCATGTGGTTGCTGGGAATTGAACTCAGGTTCTCTGGAAGAGCAGTCAGTGCTCTTAACCGCTGAGTGGTCTCTCCAGCCCCCTCTGCCAGCCTCTCGGATGCTGGCTAAAGGTGTGTGCCATCACACCTGGCCAAAATAAGTAGTTCTGAAACACCAAGGAAAGGGAATAGCCAGAACCCACTTGAGACTGTGGTGGCTTTCCTTCCTTCCCTACCCAGATTCAGTCCTTGTCAGGAAACGCCATGCTGGTACAAAGTCCCATCTCAGCCACTTGCAGAGTTTCTGCCATCAGCCACGTCCATTTTTAAATTAAAAAAAAAAAAATTCTAGATAGGGATTCTCTGTGTAACAACCCTGGCTGTCCTGGAACTCACAGAGATCCTCCTGCCTCTGCCTCCCGAGTGCTGGGATTAAAGGCATGTGCCACTAGGCCCAGCTATCTTTTTTTCTCCCAAGCCCATCTTTTGATCTAACAAACATTTGTAGTGATTACTCTGCAACTATTTTTGCTTAATTCTTTTATTGGAAAAATGTATCTTAAAAGTCCATCAAGTTCTGAATATAAATTATGACTGTCAACCCATTCCAATCACCTTGGTAAGTGGTGGTGGCATACACATTAGAGAAGGTAGCCTGAGGCAGGAGACCATCAAAGAAAGAGAAGACTGTGCCCCAATTAGTTAACAAAACTGGAGCTTGGGGTT